CTGTAGGTAGGATGAGAATGTGTACAGATATAACTCGTATTCTTGGGGCCCTGGCCTTGGGGAGTCTAGTGATTCTATGTTGCTGTACAAAGTGAGTTGGCTTCTGTTAGTTATTTTTGGAGCAGATTGGGGATATTGCTGTTTGAGGTCAGTGTGTACGGTAAGATGTTTATACATAAATGCACTTCCTCTTCACTAAATAAGCATAAACAAAATATACGCATGCTGTATTTCACTAAAAATTCATCATGTGACAACAGAATATTAATTAAATTCATATCTATCTCTCATGCAAATTGAAATCTGTAAATGAGTGCTTATTGTTCTGTGCCCTCTCCTTCCCCCCAATATACTAACTCAAACTCTTAGTATTTTCATCCCTGGAGACAATGTTTTTTTTAAATGCCTGAAGACACTTTATATTTTGGATTTGCAAGAAACTTTCCCTGAAGAAGAATGACTCAAGCTACTGGAATGGTAGTCACTGATTATTTTGAACACTTGTTTTTGAATGCTGCTACTCCTCCATCATACTGATAGTTTTCACTTGCCTGCAGATGCTGTTAGAAGTTAAGGGTACATCTACACTTCAGTAAAAAACCTGTGGCACCAAGTCTCAGAGCCCGGTCAATTGACTCAGGCCAGCTGTGGCTCTGCTGTGGGTCTTTTATTGCAATGTAAACATACCCTGAGTGTTTCACAGTGGTGTTCTGCTCATGGCTTGACATATGCCCCTAGGCTGAGACTAACTGTGGTAAATGTACAATGTAACTAAAACTACCATTTAACATTTTTTCTGCTTTCTTTCATCACAGAAAAAAAGTGTCCTATTCTCTACTTAAAATAGATATGTATCATCGGTAAATCAAAATCTCTCCCAAGAGTTAACAGAATTTCTTTTTTAATTATTATATCCCCTTCACCAGATTGTAATTAAAAACTGTTTAGATATTAATTGTATCACAGTAGAGTAGATGATAGTGCTGGCTCTTACTACTATGTTTGAAATAGAGGGATAGTTTTGTTCATTTGTTGACTGTTTTTAGTCAACACCATTTACTTGGTGTTTTGTTTATTTCCATTGTCAGAGGAGACTGCAAATTTGAGTGATGCTTTTATTAAGCCTTCTTCAACCTAAACAAATCTGTTACGTTAGGTATAAGAATCGACTTCCGAAACATTTTTCTCTACTTAAGAGTTAATAAAAAATTGGGCAGACAACTTTTGGATATATATTTTTAGACTTTTAGAATTTTTTTGACAGGTCCTCACGAGGCAATTAATAAAACTTGGTAGCTGCCAAGTTTTAAGTGCAGTAATAGATTTTAAAAATGTTTGCGAATTGGCTTCTTATTTCTATTCTTTGCTTCTTACATGTGGAAAGAGATTTCTACTATAGTTAAAATATATTATTCCTGAGATGTGGGAAAAATAGTTGACAATAGATTTTTTTGCCAGCCTGAATGGTTTCATGGTTAGACTTCAGGGGATTTTGATGACTGTAATGGCCTGATAAAACTAGGAAGGTGTATAACATAACCTCTGTGGCATTCAGATTAGATACATTTTCAAAGTAATACGTGTTGGGACAAACCATTTTGAAACGAATTATAATATGGATACTAAATTAGTTGCAACATTTAAAGCAAAGATCTATACACTGTGGCTAGTCTCTGCACTTTCGTCCTCCTTTTCTATAGTTTTGTCCTGTAATTTTTGAAAGAACTAAAAGATTTGATTGTATTTGTTGTGCAGTGGTATTATACACAGTTAAACATTCCCTACATTCCACTTCTTTTAATTTTTATATTTCAGATTTACAGTACATGAAGCAATTTATGCTTCTGAAGTTTGTAAATTGCTTTTAGGAGTCACATATTGAAGGCTTAAGTTGACAGTTGAATCTCTTTTTCAAAATTTGGTCCTGCATGAGGAATCTCACAATGTCACTCTTACACATCTGCTTTTCTGGGTAGAACCACACTTTAAATATTTTTCTTCACATTTCTGGTGAAAGACTGTGTTGAGGGCGACAGGATGAGTTAGGAAGGACAAAACAGAATTTGCAGGCATGAGTCAGGATTATTTAAGAGGCTGGGTCTAATACCCTCCATGTTTAAGTTGTAAACTAGTAGTTCATCGAGTAGTTTGTTCTGTACAAAGTCTTCCCTTCGTAGGGTTAGTGTTCTGGCTTTTACTTAAGACAGATCAGGATTCCATGATTTTAAGAGTTGTTGCTTTGCCAAGACTGAAATAGCATCCATCTTTCCAAAACAAAAAGAAAAAATCATGAGAAGCAAGGGACTTGAAAGCCTTCTAGACTCAAAATTGCATGTGCCTAGATCCAGCACTCTTAGAGATGTGGCCTGTGAGTCATCTATGTTCAGGCATGAGAATGAGCAGGTAATTGCCCTCAAGTGAAGCAATGAAAACAGAATCTGAATATATCCAGGTCAGTACAGTGAGCAGCATGGGAATTCCCTTTGGATGTAGGGGAAGGGCTGTGTCTTACAAGCAAACTGAAATCTTAAATATGCAGTAATATTATATTACAAGTTTTTTTTTTTGTTGAGAAACTACCATAGTGTTGGTTTTTTTTAAACAACCGTGTATAATCTGTTTAATTAGTAGTAAAAATAACTACTTTTTTTTTGTGATGGCTGCCATCACTAGTTATTTTTGTCCATTGCAAACAGAGGTAAAATATCCCTCAGTGGAAATATATTGGTGGGCTGACTGCACAGAAGTGTAGGTATTTTTTAAATTCAACCATCTTGTCGTCCATGATTTTACTTCCATAATTTTGATGTCAAACTATGATATCCTCCCCTTAGCAAATATTGGGGTAGAAATTTAGATCTTCAAAGAGAAAGAAAAAACATTTCAATGAGTTTCATCTGCTACATTTCAGTCATCTTTGTACTTGAGAATAGTCATATAGAGTGAATAATGGAAAGGTTCCATAGCTTCTCTGATTGGCTTTCAATTTTGTCTGTTTTAAGTTCATTCTTTTGATCTAATTAAAAATGGTTTCCTCTGACAAGACTCATTGCTGTTTTCTTTTATTAAATTTAAAGTCAAATCATGTTGCCAGTTTGAACCCCAAAATGTGTAGAGCAGAATCTAGAATCAGCAAGGGTGTGAGGCAAACTAAAATTATTCAAAAAAAGAACAGGAGTACTTGTGGCACCTTAGAGACTAACAAATTTATTTTGTTAGCCTCTAAGGTGCCACAAGTACTCCTGTTCTTTTTGCGGATACAGACTAACACGGCTGCTACTTTGAAACCTAAAATAGTCTGTTTAACTTTGAGAACTAGTGCTCAAAACTGAATAAGCTTAGTGACTGTAATGGCTTGGTATGTTGTGGATTTTAGATATGGGATACTTCAAAACGTGTTTATATATTCCTCTTCATATTCCTATACGTGTGTGTGTGTGTGTGTGTGTGTGTGTGTGTATATATATATAGAATATATACACTAATATTACAGTTTGGGCTTGATTATATGCATCCTGGTATAAGCATACCACTTAGTATTGTGATATTCTCAGATTAGTTTAGTATGTATTTATTATTTAGAATGAAGAACTATCCAAAATATACAGGATGCTTTTCAAACAGAGATAGATAATACCTGCCTCAAGGACAGTACAGTCTGAAACATCTTGATTATTATAAAGATTTTTGTAAGTAAAGCAGTTTGTGGTCAGTACTCAGAATGGAAACAGATTCCATGCAAAGTAATATTTGGTGATTCAGTAACTGGCACTCATCCTTTTCAGCAATGACCCAATGGCCTGGGTTAGTGCTGAGGGTACTGGAGATACCTTTGAATTAAGACACAAAACTGAGGCCCTAACCTCTTTTGGACGTAAAAAATCCAGTAGCCTATTAATGATGACATGCAAAGGAGGGGAGGTTTATGCCCGTTTTAATTCATTTTGACTTCTGAGGAAGGCCTGAAAGATTTAAAAAAAATACACAAACAAAAAATCCTACTTGTTTTACATTGGGCATCTGGGTGTTTTTTTTTCTATCCTGGAAGGAAATGAAACCTGATCACTGAGAGGGGAAGTATATATTTTTAAGTGTTTAGACTGCTTCAGACTTATTTTTTTTACCTATTTAACTCAAACACTTGGGGGGAAAGGATCCCTCTTTAAGGATTCAACACCAAATCTCCTCTGGTATCTGCATTCCACATTGAAATCATCCAAAAAGAAGACTCAGAAAGAATAGACTTGATGTTCTTCATATTTTTATGAAGCTTAAACCAAAAAGAAATCCATCCTCCAACAAAAAAAAAAAAAGGATTTTCGCGTTCCTTTATATACACACCTCTACCTTGATATAACACTGTCCTTGGGAGCCAAAAAATCTTACCACGTTATAGGTGAAACCGCGTTATATTGAACTTGCTTTGATCCGCCGGAGTGCACAGCCCCTTTCCCCCCTCTCCCCCTCCGAGCACTGCTTTACCGTGTTATATCAGAATTCGTGTTATATCGGGTTGCGTTATATCGGGGTAGAGGTGTATTATAAAGAAGTGCAAAACACAACAGTCTGCTATGAACTTTTTCTAATAGGAGTGCTAGCCCTAGCACGTTGGTCAAATTCTAATTTCAGTATTTGCCTGAATTCCCCATTTAGTTTCAGTGGATAAAATATTAACTTCCTATTCTAAAATATTTCGTAAGTCGTGTACTGTTGGACAGCTCTTGTGGTCCCTGGAGGTTGCATTTCAGCTGTGGATGAAGTGATTGTGTGTATGGAAATATTTGAATCGAGAGATGCTATGTAAATATACTGTATTGTCTAGATTTTATTTTTTTTATTTACTGTCACTTTTCTGAAAAGGGAGAATCTGCCAAATCTTATGTAATGTTCATTTAAAGCTCTCTGAAGGGATTTGCCCTGTCAAACTGATATTTTTAATATCAACATTAAAGATGACAAAAATAGAGGGAAAAAAACTCTTATTGTCTCTTTCTTTTTAGAGAGGATCTGACGAACTTCTTTCAGGCAGTGTACTCAATAGTCCGAACTCTAACATGAGCAGCATGGTAGTTACTGGTAAGTGTTTCAAAGGAGAAATCTAACATTATATCTCAGAATCGTTTCCTGTTTACAAGGGGGAAATAGTAAAATTAAAATAGTAAAAGTAGATTCCATCCTGTTGTACAAGAATAAATTGTTGGCATGCACCAGACTTTAACAACCCTGTATCTACATTGAAAGACTCAAAAAATATTTGAACGAGTAAACCAATTAAATTAATAGAAATTTACAGATGATGAAACAATTCTTAAGGCTGGGGAACTGGATGGGACATGAAAGAAATTACACTTTTTAATATGGAATGAGTTATACAATTCTCTTCAAATTAAGGAGTGAAACAGCAAATAATGGCTAACAGGAACTGCTATAGGAATTTAACTTTGTCATGTGTAGGCATCCACATGTCTGGGCATCCCTGCTGGATTAGCCTGCTCATTTCACAGTAGTGGAGTAACTTTATGAATAATTAAAATTCTAATAACCCTCAGCTAAACTGCCACAGCACAGACTCTGATCCTAGTTCACTGCCTTAGTATGGAAGCAGCTTTAGGCTCACAGCAGCACTTCAATGCAGCGTGTGTTAGTGTTCCTTTGTCAAACTGCTGGGGACTCCAAATAAATTGGCTTTTCAGTAATTGAAACTTGTTCCCCTTTCTTTTATAACTTCCTTACAACTATTTCAGAGTATATCTGTCAAAGGAGTTTTGCTCGGCCTGCTGTTTTGGCACACCTACCACTTAGGTCTTTCATTCTGGTGGCAGAGTGGTTTAGTTCATACCTCTAGTCTGTTAGTGGGTGATCTAAATAGTCGTAATCAGAAGACTTAGCTCACCACTTTACTGTGGTAGGTGAATTCTCCACAGCAGTGCAGCAGCGTGGTCTAGTAGCTCCTACTATCAGTGGACCATATCAGCAGTAATCCTGCAGTAAAAGGTAGCACTTTCCTCCCTGAGTGCTAATGACTGTGGCATAGCTTTAAAACCACTACAGAGAGCCTATAAATTATTTTTAGATTAAAGGAAGGCTTCTGAACACCAGTGCTTTACCCAACTCTCCTAGTTTCCTTTTTGCTTCTGGGGGATATCCCTATTTCATTTCTAGGTATCCTTGGACACAATAATAGTATGCTTGAGTTAGAAAGTGTCCTGACTTGCCATCTTTTCTTTACAGTCTTTTCCATCTTCTGGGAAAAACTATGATTCCTTCTCCCCTGCTCCCAAACTTTCTATGCATCAGGACTAAATCCATGTTATTTAATCAAAGAAGATTCTAAACAAAAAAGCTATATTACTGTCAAGTTTTACTGCTACATTACAGTTAATGTCACTTTTCAAGTGAGCCAATATTAAAACACAAATTTGAGAGAACTAAATTAGTTTAAATTGACTGCAAATTGGAAATGTTACTTTCTTCTCAAATTGATCCTTTCCCCCAGGCTCTTACAAGGGCCACCAGTTGGTTGTGAAAGACTTCACTGTACTCAAATGGAACAAATGAACTCAAGATTTTTGTTGAAAAATATTCATTTACCATACTATTGGGCTTTAAAAAAACTATGGTCAAGATTTTAAAATGTGATTTGAGTATCCAACTTAAAACACCGAATAGGGCTCAATTTTCAGAGAAATGGGGTTTGGTACTTTGAGAAAATCAGAGCCTTTCAAGGTGTCTCAAGGTAGCTATTCCGAATCACTGTCACTTTTGAAAAATCTTAGCCCATACTTTTATTTTACAGTCAAACTAGCCACAAGTTTCAATGAACTAAATAATCTTAACCTGAGCTCTTCTATGATGCCCAGGTCCGTTGCCCATTCTAATGGTAATAGTAAATATTGGAAAAAGAGGAGGAAACTCTAAAAGAAATATAAGAATCCCTAACAAAGATGCTCCTGAATGCAGTAATATAATTGTCATTTTCAATGGGTAGTCTTGAAAATATCCTTGGAGAAAACTTTCAGGAATTCATCAAAACATAACCTGTTTCCTCAGTCCATCTCTCTTATGAGACATAAGCCTCTGAATAGAAAATATTGACTAACTCCCACATCTTGTCTGGTGAGATCTAATGGACAATCCTTCCAGCTGTATCCAGAGCCAGGGAATATTTTTCCAGCTTTGCAAGCGAGAGGTCAGTACAGATTCTTCTTCAACCACTCATAATGTAAATGATCAACTAAGGTGTAATTAAGTCTAAAAGGGAAACCAAGCATTTTTCTTATTCAAATTCTTGACCAGGTCTTAAGGCATATGGGTTTGAAATGTCATTTAAAAATGTATTATAGGTCAATAGACTAATAGGTTCACCTCTAATCTTTCTTCTGGCCTCTCTGCCATTGAATTTATATATATGTAATAGTATTGACATGAGTCAGAGTTCTGCTATCACACTCAAAGCATCATTACTGTGAAGCCCTTATAAAGAAAGGATATAATCCTTGATCACTCTGTTTGTAAAGGAAGCATGATTTGGAACAGTAGCTACTCCATAACACACTCGAGAAATGACTCTACCTCCCTCTTTTGCACTGTGTAGTTCTCAAGAACTTTTCTTTCTGATTTGTCCTGGTCTTCATTTTCTACTATTCCTGGGAAACAAGGTGTATTTATGACCTTGTCACTTCTGTCATCAGATTCCATAATACTGTCCAAGCTGATGTCTTCATAGAAGAAGAGAAGGAAGAGGGCAATTTACATTTCTGTAACCGGGATGTGACCTGTTGGTGAAAATGCACCTGAAAGCAACTTACCTTCACGCAGCCCAGAGTCCACCTACCATTAGTTCTACCCCAACAGTGATTCATAATGAAGACTCTTTTTTTGTTTTTTAAAGCTTTCTCTCTCCTTTCTTTCCCCTTTCGTCCTATACCTTGTAAAGCACTTAAAAACGTTTTTGTAAAAATAATAAATAATTGCACAACAAGAAGCAAGAGATCAGATTTTTTTTCACTTAAACTTGTCTAAGTTTTTAGATTGGGATTTTCAAAGGAACCCAAGGGAATTAGGCATCCAGCTCCCATTTAATTCAGTGAGACTTGGGCACCAAATTCCCCTGGTCTCTTTTGAAAATTCCAATCATAATTCTCTTCAAATAGACGGTGAATGATATGAAAGATAGACACCTTCTCTTTCCTTTAAGGATTTCTGTATATCAACCTTTTCTCCCATTTTTTTCATATTGTCTGGGTGATTTGCAAAATAAAACGAGGTAAAGAATCTGTAATGCTTATTGCATCATTATTGGTCTCACAGGCCATCATCACACACGATCATGAAGACGTGTTTGTGGAAAAACTTCAACATTTCATTCTGACTTTGGCAGGTTGAAACTAATAGTTTAGAATCTAAGAGAACGGAGCCGGAAACAACTCTGTTAAACAGTGGTAAACATTCTGCAACCAGAACATACAAGAGGATTTGGAGTACTTGGCTTCCAAAGTACACAGACCTTTACCAAAATAGACTTCAAATCAAATATCCTCAGTTGTCCAGAGGTCCAGATCTCTTTATTCCATGTTATTTCTGGTATCAATACTTTTACACCTACTTCTGCACCCTTGCATTTCCTCAAAGCTATGTGGTGTTAAGGTGCAGTCGTCAACCCCAGAAGTGTTTGTATTTCACTTAAGCTATATGTATCTATATCAAAATTAGTTTTTACGAGTGATTTGTGAATCCTTTGCATGAAAAGTCCATAAATAACATTTGAGAAGAAAATCCTAGATGCTAGAATAGATTGTTTTAAAGGTGAAGACAAGAACTAACAACCACTACGTATTCTGGAAAGCAGTTTTGTCTTTGCTTAAGATTAAAGGTCAGGGCTCAGAGTTTTTCTAGCAATAGTTGATGACATCATTTACACCTACAGCTGAGAGCTGCACCGTCAAAATCACAGATAAAAACTATTGGAGTAAATGTTGTCCTTCATCAATTCTGAAGCTGATGTAAAATTCCATTCTTGTTTCCTATTTTAAACTAGTTAGGGTCAGAAGTCTTTGGAGAGCATGAGCCCTCCTTCCAGTGTTTATTAAATCATCCCTTTTATATTAATGTATGGCAGATACTGACTCACTGAAAAGTATTCCAAGCAAAGAGATGTTAAATGGGACTCTGATACTCTATGAAATGGACCAGAATGGAAACAAGGAAATATTAGAATTTTACCTCAATTCTGGGTATTCTGCAGGGCACCAATGTCGTCTAGGTCATAAGTCCTGCACTAACTGGTCTTAAACTGGTGTCTCTAACAATATGCTTCCCTGTGCTTTTCACTAGTCAACTAAGAAGGCAAATGTTGCATGCCCAATAAATACTTCCTTAACTATGTACTTTGCATACGGTGAAAAAAAATTGCTCTTACTCATTCTAAGATTTAACTATAAAACACATTTATTTTCTATAGAACAAGGAAACATGCATCTCCTCTGTGGTGTGCTATTTCTGTGCCAAATTTAATCTTCTGAAACTTTATTCCTTTCAACTGTAGGACTGCTCAATAAAAATTGCAGGAATATTTTCATGTATGGAAAAGTATGTCTGTTTTCTAGTTCCTTGTACTTGGAAACAGCCAAACTGTATTTCCTGAAATCTGCAAAATCTTATCTCTCTTCTCTCTCTCTCTCTCCACCCTCACCCCAAAAAAGTGGGCAGACACAAAGAATGGAACATTTCAGCCTGATGGGGTTAAAGTTCCTGAAAGTTGAGTGACTGGAAACAAGGGATTAGAATGGAAAACAAAACAGAACAAAAACAGACTCCAAGGAGAAACTGCTGAACTTGAAGTAATATGCAAATTAGACACCATCAATTTAGGCTTAAATAGAGACTGGGAATGACTGAGCCATTACACACATTGAATCTATTTCCCCATGTTAAGTATTCTCACACCTCTTGTCAAACTGTCTGTAATGGGCTATCTTGATTATCACTACAAACGTTTTTTCTCTTAATTAATTAGCCTCTTAGAGTTGGTAGGACAACTCCCACCTTTTCATGTTCTCTGTATGTATATATATCTC